AGTCCTGGTAGCGAGCTCTCTGAGATGCTCGGTTCGTTCGGTCGGCAGGAAGAGCCCCCCAGTTGCGACTTCGTTTATGTTAGGAGACCAACGGGCATAGATCCCGTCTAGTTGGAGCGCCAAACAAGCGCTGTTGCGTGCCGGCCGTCGTTTCCCGTGCGGCCTGACCCGGGGGCGGAGTGCATGAGACTAACCAGCCGTATGCACCCGCCCCCCGCGCTGTGCTTCGGCCCTGGGCCCCCGGCTTTTCAGCCCACAGTGTAATCAACGTCATACATACATACATACATACATACATACATACATACATACATACATACATACATACATACATACATACATACATACATACATACATACATACATACATACATACATACATACATACATACATACATACATACATACATACATACATACATACATACATACATACATACATACATACATACATACATACATACATACATACATGAACACACGCACACACGCCTCTCCTCCCCCCCGTTTTTTTCTTCCTAGCAGATGCATCTATCAACCACATGTCGCCTGCGAATGCCACTCATAATCACCACTCAGCATATTCCGTACCGTGCAGGTCTTCCTGTTCTGCAATTTTACGCAGAAGGCGACACTGGAACGGCCCCTAATAAGTTTATTTGTGCCCTGCAAGTAAAAGGTTGGCAGCGCAGGAGTCGTGACGAGAGAAAGAAATAAAGAGAGAGAGAGAGAGAGAGAGAGAGAGGGGTGCTGCAATTTATGGCCATGCTGGCAACCTTTTCATTCCTAACGACCTGGCCGTCTAGCTGACTCTAGCTTAAAACTTAGCGGCATTGCGAACTGTAAACCAGCAGCTTGAGACATCGTATGGCAAGTACGCTGGCATACGAAGTGCATGTTTGGCCGGTATGCTGGCTGGGTATGGTGGGCCAGCGAGGCATATGTCGTATATGCCGTATATGCCGTATATGCCGTAGTCACAGATTTGTGTATGGCTGACCTATCCATATAGGTAACAATCATCATCGACATCCCAGTGGGGCGAACATGGAAGGCACATCTCTGCTCGGGCCCTACCGCCGGCCATCACAAGCTGTGGCTTATGTACACGCCACAGGTGGGCATTTTTTCCTCCCGGCCTCTGAAGCAGCCTCCAGCTCAAACAGTCTTCCCGGCCATCCATCCCATCCGATGCTTCACCCTGCATCCACTTCTCTTAAACGACAACTGCATCTTTGCGCCCAGGATTACCCAGCGGTTCACCGCAGGCCCTTTGTAGAGCGCCGCTGCCAGCACCATGGCCCCAACTTTAAACCCAGCCTCCCCAAGCCCGCAAGCCCCGAAACCCTGCGTGCTCACTCATGTTTCCCCCGCTCACCACAATCCTCCAGGGGCTTTCCTGACAGGTCCGACTGCACACGTCCTGGAAGGGAAAGATGTCGCCCTCGTCATCCGGTTTCTGAAGAAGGCCGCGGCGCAGGCGAACTGTTCCCGCCAGGCCGTCATCGGCAGCTAGCTTACTACCCGCGCCAGCTAACCGCCGGGCTTTGAGCGCTCCTGCACACGGGATAGGGGGAGATATCGAACAACAAGATGTCATCATTGGCACCGTGTTTTTATCCTTCGTCAGGCGTTCTACAAAGTGTGCCTGAGGGAGGGGTAGGGATGTGCCTGAGAGAGGGCGGAGGGCAGCTTGGGTAGGTTTGACAAGGAAACCCAACCCAACGCCGTTTTGAACTGGGTTGTGTTATAATGACCTCAACCACGACGAGGGAAATGGCGATGAAAGGGTTGGGTTGGGTTGGGTTGGGTTGGGTTGGGTTGGGTTGGGTTGGGTTGGGTTGGGTATGGTTTCGGAGCTGTGCGGTGCTTGCAGAGCTCTGTTGGGTTCTTCGTGCACTGTCGCGGCTGCCCAGCACTCGAGTATTTAGCGTTTGTTAATGTATTAACCCCCACTTCTCAAACTCCAACATCCCTTCCCCAAACCGAGCGTACAAAAGCAAGGCTTGAAGGTATCAATACTTTTACCGCCACACCGAACTACTCTTCCCCTATCCTTCCTTTCCCCCCTTGCCTTTGTCCGCATGAGCGCCAGGGAGTGTAGGCCACGGCTGTGCGCCGTGCAGGGCCACGCAGACGAAAAGCGCGAGGAGAGGCAGCCGTCGCCTCAGAAGCGGCTTTGGGGCACGGGTGCCGTGCAGCACGTGCCGTACATTGCTCCGTCCTGGTCCTAATCTTTGACGCGTCGCTGTGCCCTCGCTGCAGCTGCAGTCCGCGGGCGCAGCTACGAGTGCATATCCACCTATCCTCACTTTAGTCATGGAGCGACAATTGACGTGGAAGCCACACTGGAAATTGCGGGGGGAGGTGTTGCGTCACCTGGTGGCAACACCAGGAAAACAGCAGGTCGCGGCTAAAGTTCCTCAAGCTCAAAAATTGGGCCGCATCGGGTCCAAAAGCCTACAGCAAAATGCACCCTTCTGAAGTTGAAGATGACAATACGACAAGTAGTAGTGCGCTTCATTTGAGTGATTTAGTACTGAGTTGCCGATTCCAGGACTTCGCAGGTCTGCGAGGCCGTCCCGGCATCGACTGTGCCCGGTACCGGCTTGTGGACCCAATGCGGTCAAAAAAGACTGACATTGTGATCATGATTTTAAGGGTATGTCAAGTAAAGAAATTCCTAGCGAATATTAGGTAAGCCGCATGGTTCTCAGCGATAATACGATCCGCGTCGAGTGGCACGTAGGTACGCCGTGCAGGTTCTGCCCAGCAAACTAGGCGGCAACGGGGCTTGAGCAAAACCTTTTGGATAAGTAAATAGGTATAAAAATACAGGAGCAAGGCAAACAACGGCTCTATGAGACGCTCGGAGTTCTGCATAAGCTTTGCCCTAACAACGATAATGCACTATACCATCCCACAACAATCACTTTTCGTGATGTAAGATGTAATAAGCGTCTTTGCGAAGGCGTACTGTTCCCTTGGTAAAACCTGGCGACAGGTCCGTTTATAGCTCAAACTTACCTCCTTTTTTGAGGTGGGCCTGCTGCTCGTAGCGTGCCGTAATGAGTTCCACAGCGCTGAAACGCCTTATGTCGAAAACTGGAACTGCTATATTTTTATCCTTTTTCTGTTCGCTTGTGGACAAGCTCCTACAGTGAGGTAAGTTACAAGTATTGACAATTTTTCCACTAAATGTGTAGAGCATCATAAAATAAATACTGTGAGACAAATTGACATTCTCACCTCGTAAGTGTAGGTGTGCACAGGACGAGCCCGTACAAGGGGCGGGCGAATCTGCCACGGTTTTCCGGTTGATGTTCGATAACTGGGGCAACGGGTGTAAGTGAGTGGCTTGCAAAAGGCTTTACTCCAGCTTGGATCTGGCTCGGACCCAGCCTGGTACGCATTGGCACTGGACCAGCTTCAACAGGCTGGCTGAAAGCTGCAAATAAGCATTGCAAAGCACGTCCGCTCCATGTGCGCTCCACGAATAGGGTCCGTACTTGTTGCACATTATGACATTTGACATAAAGGCTTTATAGGAAAAAATGTTTACACCGGACCAAGGAATGACCCAGCAGGAATTGGCCCTAGCACGTCGTTGTCATCATGCAAGCAAAGTCAGGGATCCAGCACGCGAAGATTGCGCAATTGTATGATTTTTATTCTGATTTCCATTCTTGACTTATTTTTATGTAGTATTGAGTTTGCTCAAGTACGGGGAACTGCAGCTTGCTCTTGGGAATGAAGTCCTCTGTTTGCTCGCCGCAAAAGGCAAGGGTACTGCAGGCAAGCCAAGACGCCGACCAAATTTGACTGATTTTACTCTATCTAGAATTAAATAATTGCCATAGCTGTTGCCATAGCTACCAGAGAGCGCTGGATGCTTCACCAGTGTTCGAGAAGCATCGCCGAAGAAGGATCAGATTCGAAAGGGTCCGTTTGTGAACTTATGACATTTGGCGTAAGTTCAATACCCAAATAAACACAGTACCTCAGTTAGCGATCGCATCGGCCTCAGCATTTGTTTTGGTGGTTCCTTGTTTACCGACCCGGGTTAGCTGGACTCATCACCCGAGTTGGACATAATCCTGAAATTAAAAAAGCCAATATGCTTATTATTTGCGGCAAGTACGGATACGGTAAAGGTAAAAGTCGCCTTCTGCGCGCTGCTGTCGGGCGTAAAATCCGCCGTCGTGCGGCCCGTGGATGCTGCCTACCAAACAATGGTAGTGCGATTGATCTAAGTTTCGTGCTGCAAGGTGCTGACCAAGATTCTAAGGATATAGATTCGCAAAAAAAGGCGCCCGCACCCCGCCAGCATAGTGAACTTTGACCGGACATAAACGAATGGGAGCGCTCCACTGTCCCTGAGTTGTGTTGTCTTGTTAAAGTAGATGATATCCACTTTTTAATTTAAACTTTAAGCGGGACTGTGATAGTTGTAGGGTTCCGGTGAAAGTCCACTGCCAACTCTAGTAAGAGGACAGTGCATGTGAGCCCGCATGTTCGTATTCCGCCTGCAGTATTTGCGCGATTGCAGCATTTGAGCCTTGTCAACGTTGGCAAGGGTCGCATCACCACCATGCCACACCACCACCACCACAAAGCGAGCTGCCGTTCCCATCTGTCGTTGCCGATTGTGAATTGGGCCGCATTTCCTTTCCGTACGCTGGACGACCAGCCATTTAGGGGGGGAAAACGACGTAACGTGCAAGAGCAGTTACATATCTCCGAATGATCCTGATATCTTTATCAAAGGGGTTTATCAGGTAGCTTTTCTCAAGACTTTCCAAGACGTGGTCGTACAATAGTACGGGTCGTACATCGTTTAGCTACATTTTCGCTGGTGTATATCACCCGGTGCCTCTAGAGAGACCACCTGGACTGGATTCGTAGAGTTTAAGGATAAACGTTGTTAACAATCCGTTAGGGTCCGCACACCATTCCTTGAACCCTACTGAAGAGCATTTCATAAAGGTCTATTAGACCTCAGGATAACCGTGCTGCAAAAGAAGGACTCATATCGTCCCATTTTTCATATCTTATCATCCCAACACTCATGGAGTGCTGCTCTAGCCCACGAGAAAGTGTGTGTGTGTGTGTGCGTGTGTGCGTGTGTGCGTGTGTGTGTGTGTGTGTGTGTGTGTGTGTGTGTGTGTGTGTGTGTGTGTGTGTGTGTGTGTGTGTGTGTGTGTGTGTGTGTAGTTGTTGCAATGGGCTCCAGGCTTACGAAGGGTAGAGCCAGCTGGCCAGCTGGCCGTGCACTGCACCTGATACGATGAGGGCAAACAAGACTCCCACCCAGACCAGGCAACGCAAGTCACCTAGACAGCCAAAAGCAAACCCAAAGGGAAGGCTCAGAACCCGCAACCACTGGGAATTCGCCATCAGACTCCCCAATCGGACACTCCTCGGACCCATCCAGCGTATACTGATAAGAACTTGCACGTTGTTACTAGCCCCAAAAGTCCCCCAATTAAAAGAAATCCCAAATAGAGGCAAAAATAGCTGGTAGCTTATCGTCTATCGGTAGTGATTAAGGTTAATCGCTGCTGGCCCTTCTGGTCCACAACACATCTAGGAAGCTTCGTCTGTCTGTAGCAAAATTAAATATGCATATTGCTGCGGGTGCGCTTGGGAGTAAGTAAGCAGCAGTTGGTGCCCAGGCGGCTTTAATGCGACTGCAAACCAAATGCAAACCGGTTTTATTGCAACTGTAAACAGTGTTCGGCCGTTCAGAAGCAGTATGGCTGGGACAGACATGCGGCACACGTGGGCTATAACAGCCCTAGGGCTTCACAGTTTCGTGAGCCTTCATGTACGACCTTAGGAGTTCTTAAAGCATGAAATCCGTCCATCAAGTTCGTCACACAGACTGCTGTCCATTGTCGCATACTCCATGAAGCCGGTACAACAGGGGCCAGCTCGCGGTTGCTTTCGTCTCTTAAACGTTTGACGCACTTCAAGAAGCGCGCGCGTCTGTAGCAGCTTCTGGACTTCCGGCCGAGCAAGTTGCTTTCCAGATGAGCAGTATTTTTTTCAGTAAGCAGTAGTCTTGAGCCCGTAATTCCCCTCGCCTTGACTGACGACCGCCGGTCGTCGCCGGTCTCCCGGCTATCGCTTCATGCATGGTTCCGGCTGATGAACGAAAGCCAGACGTTCGTCATGAGATTGCTCTAGGGGACAAAAAAGACACCTTCACCAAAAGCATAAAATTACAATATCCAGCACATGTTCACTGTAACACAGTGTAAGCATAAGGAGCAGTTCCTTGGTGCCGTCATTACGAGGCCTTTTTCCTCCTTCCCCGCCTCCAAGGAGCAACCCGTTGTACATTCATACATATAACACGACTGCGATAGCAGCTAAGCTAAGAGGACCCAGCGGTCGGGACGGGACCCAGCCCCGCTGCCTCAGATCGCCGCCTTCTTTCCCGTACGGCTACCACCACTGCTGCCTCTCCAACCTTAGGCTCCGCTGTCCAGCTGTTGGTGTGACTGCTACTTTCATCCCCTTGCTGCTGCCGCTGCATATTAACCCGCGTGCCCAACAAAACCGGATTTGAATTTGCAAGAGCTCCGCCGACTTTCCTGTTTGACCTAATTGAACTGCGTTTGGATGCTTGGCATGGCTACTCTAGTTGATTAAGTTGATACATCTTTTGAGTTTATGCTCCCTGCATGTGCTCAACGCACGAACCGTTCTCGGCTGGCTATGTTTTTCGACAATGTTGGAGACATGGTCATTTGAGACTTTCTTCGTTTGGGACGCGCCATCGGCAAACCTTGGCAGCTCCGCCGTGTTTCCCAAACCCTTTGAAAATCCATCCCGCTTTCCTAACCCACACGCCTCAACAAAGCAGACCTCACAAGACCATTGCCGTTGCACCGTACAGCACACGCCGTATAAACCAACCCCGCCCCTCCCCTTGCTTTCTTTGTCCCACTGCTTTCCGTCCGCATCCGCACCAATTCCATCGTGCCAACCGCGTCCGTAGTAAGGCCCCCTCCCGTGCACACACCCCACACAAACTTTTTGCGCCAAATTATGACTTGTACCTAACTTGTGGCTCTTAGGCCTCTGCTGCCTAGTAAGAGCGTGTACACCGCTCTGGGTAACGCAATCGAGGTGTAACACACACACACACACGTCCGCAGCTGCCTTCTCCCCCAACCACTCGCACCGTGCGATCCTCTTCGCCCTCCGCTTTTCCACCTCACTGTTAGCCATCCAAAACCATACAGAAGAACTTTCTTTACATAACCTTCTACGGTACCCAAATGGCAAACTCCTTGGTCTCTCGTGTTTACGCTTCTTTGCACGTTTCTCTGCCCCTTGCCCCGTCGATTGCCGTCACCGTTCAGGACGCAGGGCAGCGTGTCCCGCAGACGGAGACGTGCGCGGCAGCACAGCAGCTTTGGCATATGAGGTTTGAAGCAAATAAATGGCCCTGGAGAATGTCAGATGGCAGACGGACTGCGGACAGAAAACACTAGGGCGTTTCGGGCTAGCGGGAAGCACTACACAGCAACCTAGCTAGATAAGAACGGCAATATCCTGCTGGACGAGGCGCTGAACGAGATTATACTGGATGATATAAATGTCACCGGCTTTCATGTCCACCAGCTGTTGACCCCTGAAAAGCAAAGGAAGGCAAAGGCACTCAGGAGGAAACGTCAACGCAGGACAGCCCGGCAAGTGTTTAACGATTACGGAATTCCCTATGTGTGAGCTGTTGGTATTGATGTGTTATGAAATGTGGATGCTATGAAACGGACTCTCCCTCTCTCCTCACGCAGCAGAGGAGGTCGAGGGGTCAGGTCGCATTGAGCACAAATCAGTCATGCGGCATGACGAAGACTGATGGCAGGGCGATGGTGGTCATGATGGTGATGAGCAGCGCAGCAGTAATTCAGATGTCCGGCACCACAATCGTGCAATAAATGGCAGTGCGGTCCGCGGAAAGGAAACAGGACAAAAAGGATAGGAGATGCGCGGAAACAGCAAAACACATAATGTACCGGTACCCGCATCAAAAGCAGGGTCCCAAACCCCTACCCCTGAGTCGTCCCCAAGCTACAGCGCCATTATAACACGCGATCATCATCACTATCTCTGCAGCGCCACAAAAGACATACAGTTACACAGGTCAGAGCCCACTCCCACACCCACACCAAGACGCCCCGGTTGGGCCCAAGTCCGGTTACTGTTAATTATCTCGAAACGGGATTTTTCCTTCTTTTCCTCCCTCCCAAACCCTTTTGACACTCACTCCGCATCCACTGCGACATGCCCGGCGTCCTTGAGCAGCTTCACGAAGACGCAGCGGTCAAGACGCGGCGTGGGAATCATATCGCGCGTGTCGGTGAGCTGGGACTCCTGAACCTGAGGGACCAACATGGGAACAACAGGGGCGCACCAGCAGCATCAGCACCAATATCAGCAGTATCAGCAGCAGAAGTAGCAGCAGTAGCATCAACACCAGCAGTAGCCGACCGCATGCCCGTGTGTACACGCACACGTTCAGGTACACGTCATTTTACCAAAGTACCAATCCCTCCGGTTACGCCCGTGCTGTATAAACCGTTAGAACGCAAGGACAGTACATGCTCTGGAGACACGGGCACGAAAGGCACTTGATGCTTCTAAACGTGATCAGAACGGAGGCATGGACCCGCTGGGGACATGGACCAGCGGGGGCCCCAAGGCCCGCTTCTAAACGTTAGGGTTTAACTTCCATTTTAGGAGGGGACATCCAAAGCAAAGCGATAAAAAGGTAAGAGGACGCCCTCGCGACCTCGGTGTCCCCATCCCCCGGGACCAGCCTCCCCTTCCCACGCGCCGGTGCTGGAGCGCTTCCGGGTGACCCTGCGGCCAAAGACCATCTGCCTAAACCTGCTTAAATGTCGGTACACACCTCAATCACACCATCTGCCTCTCGGACGAGGAGCAGTAAGGTTATCCGACTGGGTCGTTACCAACTGGTTTCCGTGTACGGGTCATTCTCTCCTGCTGCGAGTCTGCAGTTGTGAATCCAGAAAACACCCTCCTACCGTGCAGTCGCGGCCTACGCAGCACACCGCTAAACATAGCGCGGGCCATGTGTTAATGATTGTAACGAAGCGGCGCCACTTCCTATCCCTCGGGCTTCCTCTCCGACACGCGAAACACCCAATCGGACGATGAAGACCCCCACCGACCCATCCGTCCATCCAACCGTCCATCGTGAAACCCACCAACGTCTGGAACTCCTCAGGCAGGCGAGCCAGCACCACCTCTTTGAGGCACTTGCCCACCGCCACAAAGTACTGCAGGCAGTGGTTGAGTTCTTTTGGAGAGCAGCTACGGAAGCGGGTTGCGGGGAAAGGGGAAAACACAGCAGCATGCCATGTCCAAAGTCAGGAAAAAACATGGCTTTCCTTACCTAGCGGGGAAAGGAGGGAATTGTGTGAGCGAGGCAAAGGGAAGGATTAGGTTTAACCATGTGCGAAAAATGCAAAATGTATAAGCTGCTGGTGCTCAAAATGTGTAAAATATGTACCGATTTTCTGAGTCTAAAGGACTACCCGGCGGGATAGCAGGTAGGGGTTTCCACAGCGTACTGTAATGGCGCACCCTCGGAACATGGTACATGTGTAAAATTGCCGACGCCGGGAAGGAGGTGGACGTGAGCGAAACCTGGGTGCGAGATCTCTCTGCTTGGGTGGGGTGTGGCTATCAGTGCAGGGCGTGGTTTCGGAGCGGGACCGGATGGTTGAACAGGAACACAGCGTGCTATGAGCGCAAAAAGCTTAGGACCCATATCAGGCTTTAATGCTCAGATTTGCGGAAGTAAGGGTCTGCGGATCTTGGTGCCGCAGGTGAGCTTGTCCATCAGTGGTCGACTTACTTTCGCTGCAGCTCGTTGTTATCAAGGATAAGGGTTGCAAAGCGCTCAATTTTCTGTAGTCTTGCACGCCAATAGGCTTTGAGTAGAAACCTGCACAGAGAGACAGACAGGGGGCTCACTCACCGTGCTGAGCCGGGCCTAGTCATGTCCTTAGCGCGTGGTGTAAAGGACGTCAAAATCACCTAAAACGCATTGCAAGCTCGGCGGTCTACAATTTACGGTGAGGTTATGGCGCATGGTTTATGTAAACCAAGCTATGTACCTGAATCGGTTGATGTTAAGCGTGCAGCAGAGGATGGGCACCGACAAATCCACGTCGTCCTCGGGCAGTCTATTGCTTTTGCTGGCTTCCTTCCAACTCTCCACCCTCGCAATCTACAGTACAGCATCCCGTAGCCATGGAATTGCCAGTTGCTTCACCTTTATGGATCGCGGTTCCACGACTAACCTGATCTTCGAGGCGTTGCTGCACCCGTTCTACTAAATCGTGTTTGTACTCCAAGATGTCTTGGGTGTTTCGCTCATTCCGAACGGCCTAGGATGGGTTCCCAGCTTTAGTCGCACACACGCTTGCAAGATGTTTAGCCGGCATCTGAAGCCTTCGACGCACATTTGTCAGCAGTTCAAAATCATCATGTTCCACGAGACCATCTGCAAAGTCCTGAGTGAAGCCAAGCGTTCCTAAAACATCTGCCATTCTCGCATCAAAAAGGCGCGAAATTCAGGAAATGAGGTGACACCCTAACAGTGATGATTTTATTCTATACCGGCCTTCGCAAGCATTAGGTTATACCAGTTGCATGTTTTGTTCTCCATTCCTGTAGTGTTCTGTGTACCCTAAAGCGGGTTTCGGAGTTTTTAGGACTCCGAAACCACCCTCCGAGACCACCAATGACGGGCATTTCTTCCTGAAGACACACCTAACACTGCTGCAAGAAGGCCGCATGTTGAGTTATGCTGAGCTCAGAGAGTTAAATTTCATACATGATTTGCTTGGGGACCAACAAGGACTTTTACTCATGATCGTAGCGACTCAGTCTCAGGTCTGTTTACATCCGCTATCTCCGGGCGATAGGGCAGTGTGACAACACTTGCATCCCCAGCCCGATCCTAACGGTCCTGCGCCAAAGCAGGATTCTTTGTCAATAACACCGGTATTTGCCGTGAAACTATTAGCAAACCCGCGAATCCCCTAGCGGCTCCCTGAGCTCAGCCTAGCGCTTTCTCAGGAACCTCTTTCGTACTCATGTGACTTTTCCCCTTTCTTTAGTTGTGCGCTTCCATTGCTGCACTTGGAAAAATCCTTCCGCAAGAAGGACAGGATTGGAAGGCGGTCTTCTTTAACAGGGGGTTGTCGTGATTCTACAATTGTCCAACCCAACTTTAGGAGCTCGCGGGATCTCTTCCCGGAAGAGGGAGAGACAAGGCGTTTCTTGGATTATAATTTGTTGTAAGGGCATGTGCGCTGACGGACTCCAATGGAAACAGGAAGGGCCAGGAAGGGAGCAGCGCGAAAAAAACAGCGCACGTACATAATCTGTGTCCGCCTTCGTCATGGACATTCGGCTGTCTGCCCTTGTAACTTCCACGAAAATTTCTGCGGGTCCCTGACCTTCCTAACCACTGGAGCATCTGGGTTCATAACCAGTCGGAAATTATTACTGAACCATGGGCCAGTCACTTTGCGTGGAAAGCTTTTCAGCCCTTACTTGCTTTTCACGAATTGCCCATTAAGCAAGCGACATGACGCAATGGCCTCACCGCGTCTTCCATAGCAGGACTTTAAGATTGACAGGGGCAAGAGTTTGCTGAGAGCTCGCTGTTTCCTAACAAGCTAGCATGCCATCAAGGAACAATTGATTGCGGATATCTTATTAGCTTAGGAGCATAGCTCTGGCTCATGCGCCTAGCTGCGATGACGTGGCAACCAATACGTAGACAACCAACATTGGACTTGACGAAGTCGTGAACCGACCTCATCGCCTGCTTGCAGGACGCAGTCTTATAAGCTGTGCGTCACCACATTCTTGAAGTCTGTCAACACAGTTGCACCTTGAGAGGTGCTTTATGAGCTGGTGGCACGAGAGGCAGGACCGAGCTCGTGCGCGGCCAAAGGTGTGATTAATTGTGCGAATCCCTTACATTTTCCCTATTGTACAATCTCCGAAAGCCATGGGCCTCGTGGCCTACGCATTCACAGGAAACCAACGTGGTGACGCGACCCTCCTACATATACTATTTTGGTTCATTCTAAGTTTCGATTTCTATTCCCGTAGGCATTTGGAAGCGGAATGGCAGATGACGACATCCGCACCCCGTTGAATGCACCTGACCCGGAATGTGGAGGGGGCGTCTGAAGCATGCCCCCGCTGGCATCTCGCCGCCGCTTAGATGCTGCACCAGCTGCGCCAGAAGCAGTCTCGCCATCAGGCGAGGCTGCGGACAAGCGCTCGCTGGCGGCATCTGTGGCAGCGTTGCTGCTGGCACTACCAGCTCTCGTGGGAAGCTGATGTTGGCCTTTGCTCCTGGGTAAGTAGCATATTGAATCCGGTGGATTGCTTCAGGACTGATCCCGTTCTCCCTAACGAGTTTATTTCATATAAATCGCCCTTCGTCAACAACGCAGCCGGATTTATGGGTATCACCGCAACGGCAGGAGCAAAGGCTTTCTCACACACATTCTCACTGGCGCTCACGTTGGCTATCCTCACCAACTTGGCCCAGTACACGGCATGGAAGTCCACGTCCCGAAGGTGTGTGCATGACTATGCATGTTGCCTGACAATCTCTCGGCTTGCGCAACCTTTGCTTTGCAAATACTAGGGGCTTAGGATGACGAAAGGTTGTTTGCCTTAGCCAGAGCCTTTAGACCGATGGCTCTTTCGCTCCCATTTCCGTTGCGCTGGGTCCACGACGCCAAGGGCCCCGGCCTCGCACGCCTGCCCAGCGCTTTGGCCTCCTTTACGCCCCCTCTCAATTCTCCTTGCCACGTTTCCAGTTTTCGATATCTATCATCTTACTTCCCCTTTTCCCCTTTTTTCCTAATTCTTCTAATTCTCTCCCCCGAACACCCACGGCACAGCGGCTCCCACTGGCAGCGCTACGGCCCCGCCTGGCTCCTCGTCATTGCCACTCCGTTGATGTGCGCAGATCTCGTACGGCACTGCCTGCAGGTGGGGACTGGGTAGAAGGTAGAAGTGGGAGTTGAGCCTGGGCAGGTTAGGGCTGAGACACAGGAGGAAATGTAAGAGGCAGAAGACAGGTATCGGGCGCGTCAGTGGCGATAAACCTCCGAAAAAATCAGAAGAATTGGAGGGTAGGAGGGGGGAAAGTTCAGCTCGGGAAGGGAGACATGTTCCGATTGTTGAGTCGGTCCGCATCTGGTGTATATACAAGAGGAGCACTTGCAGTATACTTGAGGCTGCCCGCCTGCCTGCCCGCCGATCCTTTTGCCAGCTCATCTGCTACTGTACTTACTCTATCCGTTGCATTTTCCATCCATCGGGCTGAGGGCCATAAAAAGAGGGTTTCGGCTGGATGGTTGGGTTGGTTGCACGCCAAACTAGGCAGTTCTAGGGTTTCATATTCAATGAACCAGGTTGGGCAGCGATGCACCTGGCGACTTTCTGTTGACTTGGGTAATTAAGCAAGCGAGCGTTACGGCGGAAGGTGGCCAACGACGCAGCTCTCCTCGGCGCCTTGTGGGTTACTGCTAGATTGAAATGAAATGTTCCGACGGACCGGACCGTTCTTTGGTTGTTACGGTTGTAACGGAAAAGTTAGTAAAAAAAGACGCTGGAGACCTCCCAAAGCGCTGCTGTTTCATCCGCTGCTTGGCTTTTGTTCTTCAAAATTCCCGAAATAGTTTATCAGTGAATCCGAGGAGAAACGACGAGAAAGAGACCGCCTTTTTGCCCACTTGCTAACACTCGTCCTTGCCGTGTAGGATTCTGCCATCTGGACGGGTCCCTCGAGCCGCATGTATCGGCCGCACTGCGGCCCTGTGAGCGGTTTTCACGGCTTCTGGTGTCTTTCGGTTACTGGTTGGCTCTTCTCCATCATCTTCACATACAGCGGCTTCGTTCTCATGGTGGCAGGTAAGTTGGTCGGAAAAAGGAAACATACAAAACTTGTTGGAAAGATCGTCGGAAAGGTTGAAGTATTGATTGAGGTCTTTGGTTGGTTGAGGGCGAACAACAGAACTTAAGTACGGCAACTGTTTGTTATGGCGCATTCTGGCGCGTAGTCTTTGGTTAATTATGACGTTTTGTGTCGCACGCGTGGTTGTGATGTTAATTGTGGAGATGGGAAGAGAAGGGCAATGTGTGAAGGGGTTCGCGAAAGTAGGTCTTCCAAAAAGGGGAGGCTGCGGGGGAGGGGAAGACGAGGAGCTGGGCGTGTGTGAACAGTTGTGGTGTTATTGAACGGCGGGTCGTTGTGTTCTTTTACCCCCTTCCTTCCTGGACGGCGTTCCTTTTGCGTTCTGGGGAGAAGAAGGGAGGGGGGCATCACCCTTATGAAGACGCGCGCTCCGCTGTCCTGGCGGCCTCTCCTTACAACTCATATACATGTGTCCAGACAACGTTGCACATTATGGCGCGGGTGGCTTCTGTGTGGCTGACTGGCCTTTGTGTAGCCGACTGGCGTTTGTGTGGCCGACCTGCGCCATCATCCTGTTTTGCTACTCACCATCAAGGCCGCGCGCATACTGCCCATTTGAACGTTTGAATACGCACGCACGTGGCGGTCTGACCTCGCCTCTTTACCAAAACTTTCACAAAGCTAAGCTAAACATACATAAATCCTTCTGTCCAATTTCGAACGTGTTAAAAGAAATCCGTATCTGATTTTGTATTTAATATTTGAAAAGTGTTTCCAAAATTCCGTTGCTTGAATTCTTTCTTGAAAAGTGTTTCCAAATCCGTTGCTCGTATATCCTTTGCTACTGATTTCCACGATGATGAATGACCTGACCACTGCGCCACCGACTGTGTACCCGACCCCGCCCGAGCAGCGGTTCTTTGGAGCTCAAATCTGATCGGCAAGCTGCGGGTCGCCTGGACTGGTCTGCGGAGTTGAAAGCTGGGGCGAGTTAAGTCAGCGCGGTAGGGTCTTGCTGCTTCAACAGGAGGGAGAGGACGACAGCATGCATGGCACCGGCGAGGGATGTCTGTGACTGTGCGACAAAAGAGAGCCGTCGCTGTTGTTGTTGTTGATGTTGTTGTTCACCTGACCTACTGTTTGAGCGGCCGTCCTTCGTGTGCACGTCCGGGAGTTGCCTCCTCAAGGAACGTGGCGGAGCTCCCCCTGCGTTGGGAATGGCGCCAGGGTTTCATCCTGGGAGCCTGACCCTGGCCTGCTGATGTGCAGCTTTCTTTCCTCCCCCTTTCCCCCACCCTCACCCCCAAACTTTACCCTTTACCTATCTACCGCAACCTCTTTCTCGTTTTGTTCCGCAAAGTGACGCCATCTCGCCAATCCCACGAGTAGCAGTGCGCTCAGTCTTCTCCTTGCAATCGACCCGACATCCATGATGACAGCAGAGAGTGACACAGCTTGGGTACAGGTTGAATATCCGGGACGTGGTTATTCTTAGCCTAGCATGGCGCTGTACCCTGACTGTTTTGTCATTGCTGACATGGATGGATGTGGCGGTTGTAGTGGGTTGAGGAACGGGCGCAGTGTGTGGGCGCGAGGTATGGCTGATGGGGCTCTGTCCGCGCTGGAGGACGTTTCGCAGCGCGGCGGCTGCGGCAAAACAAGGAAGGTCGTGGTTGTGTGGTGGTTTGGGGTTGTTGGGTTGTGTGAGGTGGTTGAGGGGGGTTGTGTACATTATGATCTCAGGGATAAGATGAGATGAGAGGAAGGATGTAGCAGGGTGGCAGATATGGGCTTAAGGTTTCCTGTAGAAACACCTGTAGAAAGTGTTGTCGATCTGCTAAGTCAGTTGAGTTTTGTTACCCCTGCTGTCCCGAGGATTGGGACTCGTGAACACCTATTGGTGGATGCCATCATAAAAGCCCACACAGGGTGCAAACAGGGCTCTTTTTTACGTGTCGTGTGTTTCGTACGTACATAGTAGCTTTACGCCCTTGGATAGATGGATATGGATAGGATGCATTTTTGTTGTTCACATGACAAGGATGGGTATTTCTTTACCTAGATAGGAAAAGCAAATATATAAGCAAATTCCTATTGCCCTAAAGTTGCCAGGTTGCCTGCAGGAGTGCCAGTATTGGCAGATACATGATGGCAAACGGCGGTTTGCATAATGATTCTGCCGTCTTCTGTCCGCTGGGGAGCCGTGGGCCCAACTTGTTAGCAGTGGGGCCCGGGTAGTCTCATGGGTGCAGGTAACTAACCTCGTGATGCCGAAACAACGTAAAAGGAAAAGCCAGTAGGAGAGGCTCAAGCCACAGGGTGTATATGCCCATTGAGAGCTCTGCTGCACCACGTGCTCCCAAAAGATCCGGCGAGAGGGCGCCTAGAGTTGCATAGCCGTTCCTAATGCAGGGACAGTCACTTTCTCGTGAGCTTTCTCGTGAGCTAGAGCAGCAGTCCCCGAGTGTTGGGCTGGTAAGATATGAAAAAAGCCGAGACGTTATGAGGTCCTTCTATTGCCACACGACTATTGCAGTAGGCCTTTATGAAATCCTCTTTAGCATATTAGTTTTGGAGGAACGGTGTGCGGACATAACGTCTCGAGAATGAGATAAGCATTGAAGCGCGAAGACTTCTTGACACACGGCCGTGACGAGTAGTCTTGAGGGATTTGATACGGCTTCGAGCCAGAAGCGTCCGCGTCACTTGAAAGTGCCGACTGACCTTTGCACTTCGAGGTTGGAACTGAGTCAGATTGACGTGCCCAGTAGTCGCACAACAAGTCGCCGTAGTTGGTTAGGTGCCCACGAATCAAAGTCCGGGCCCAGACCTTTAAAGATTGGGAATTTCCAACGCATCAGGTAGAAACGTTTTCGTCGACGTCCTCCTTTAACTTCCCTATGGACTCAACTTCAAAGTCCAATTTACCTTCGACAACTTACGGTGGCTAAGGTAACTGAACGCAATCCACAAACAACAACAGATTGAGGTTTTGCCATCAGGGTCGAAAGGCAGATCAGTGGTAAAATCCATGGCCACACAAGACAAACCACCAGGGAAACTGGTATCCGCCTTCACCCTCTGATAACTGTAACACGTACGGCAGTATGGTGTGATGACCGATTGACGCAACCGAAAAGAACGACGCACCAAGTCTTAAATCTTGGTCACGCCCGTATGGCCTGCCAACGGATGGTCATGACAAAGACGCAGAACGGTAGTGCGTAAATTAGCATGATCTGGCACAACCAACGCATCTCCTCGATACCAGAACTGACCACGCCACAACAAGGTAGCCGTGTTCTCTGGCACCTTAAAACCAAGGATCCATTCCACACCCATCAAGCACCGATGACTCAAGAGAGCGTTTCCCGTATAGCCAGTTAGTTGTAAGCTTGTTGTACGTGTCTGGATGTACACGTCCTGACAGAGCGTAGGAAGAGAGCACTTCAGCTCCAAGGTGGTGTGTCACGGAAGGCAGCAAAATGAGAAAATTGTGCTTGCAAATGCAAAGCTCCTGACCCAGAGGGGTGTATCTGCAACTAGCATCGAACTATTCGCCTTCGTGTTACAACAGCAAGCAGACTCTTTAGCCAGACGTACTCTGACAGCCGATCTGAGTTCAGATCTGAGTTCGAACGCGCGTTATAACGCGAACATCCGCGTTGGACAATATCTCAGGCACACTCTTCGTAGTTGCCGAAAATGCCGCCCGCAGGCGTTGGCTCAACTGACACAGCCACAAATGGTCCAGAAGCCGCACCAGGCTCTGCGACACTGCTTTGTTTTGAGTTTTGCACTCTGCAGTTGCGTAAAGGGACTCTCGTTCATGAGGCGCCTTTCGTCACTGCAGAGCATGATTTCGCAGAGCAGAGTGCCTCCCAGCTGGAGCCGCAAGTTCATTACACTGTATAGCCGCGCTTTGTCAGCATACAACACCTGAGCCCATAGGTTGAAAAGCTGCTGTTCGGCTTAATCGTAAAGGCGTGCATTAGATGAAGCTGCATGATAACTCGAACACCCAGCTTGTGTTACCATTTGCCCGCACGGGCATTCCGACTTGCCACCAGCAGGCCGACAAATTTGCTTTCATTTCTCTATGAAATACGCAAGCTGCTCGTTTGTACAATTACTTTGGCCAATGCTCGGGGCCTCCGAAGACTTGCAGTGTGCCGCGGCGGCTGTGGGGCGGATTGCTGAAGCCACTGGCGCTTCGGGGAGAAACATCACAGACAGCACCGGAAAGTGCTCCGGGCGTTTGGGAAGTGTGTCGAGCTAGGTTTTCCGGGGGGTGCCAAGGGCGCGTGAGCATGCGGGTCAATGCCTGAAGGGGCGCCGTAGGCAGTGTGTACGGTGCTGTACGGCGCTGTTTTCCGTGTGTGTTATGGCTGCGGCACCAGACCGCAAAGCCAACAGGCTGAAGGCTGGCAAGCTGCGGTTGTGTCTGCTGAGCGTTGAGCATCCGGCCTGGACCGTGGACTTGGCGGCCAAGCCCCTGCTGTGTGCCGGTAACGGCACCTCAGACTCATACGTTTACACCCAAGCAAGGGGCTGTCGATGGCAGGTCGTGGACCTCCCAACTACGTGTAACGGCCAATGACTGTTAGCCGTGTCTGCTAGGTTCCAGAGAGACACCGTCTGTTCAACAGGTTATGAGCCCCGGCTTCCTGCCTCCCGCGCTCTGACACGCATACCTCCCACAGGATCAGCACTGCTGCAACAAGCACAGCTCCCACCACGTTGACACTACCCTAGCTACCGGCCTGTACGGATGCAGGGGGCCCCCGCCCTTTTTCCGGCTTCGAGGAAGCCGACACCCGACTTGTCGCACCACGGTTGGTCATTTTGAGTACACGGTCATTGATTCGGCTTGGTTAATGCCCTTGCGACTTTCCATGCCGTTATGGATCATCTTCTTCGGCGGTGTATTGCCAAATTCCTGGTTAGGACGATGTTCTGTATGTTGTTACAGGGTGGTATAGCTTCACCAGTGGCCCCCTTTCCCGAGGCAGTTCCCTGCTCTCCCCTGCTAGAGGGGCACCCTAATCCATTCAACCCATCCGACTTCGGAGTGTACGCTTTGGGTTTGGCAACTCACCATCAGCATCCAATCAAATTTAGCGGGTCAATGGCGCCTAAACTTAGTTCTTGGTCAGCTCGCAAGTTGATTTTATCACGTCCTACACCGTCCACAAGATGGGGTTCCACCTCCCATTTCACCAACCCTCAAACACCCGAGGGGTCGGCAGGCGGATTTGAACCCGGATACTCCGCAGGCCTTAACCCGTGCCAGCCACTTGCCGATGTTCTTATCTTTCCAAGAACGCGCCAGGAGCGTCTGCAGCACTTGCATTCTGTCATCCAGGTATTACGGCACGAAGAGCTTTAGGCAAGTGTCATTGGGCGCAACCCCAGGTGGAGCACCTCGGCCACATCGTCTCTGCTGACGGTGTTCGTATGGGTCCCCATAAAACCGCTGCGGTACAGGATTGGCCGGCGCCCACCTCTCTGCAGGAGCTTTGTAAGTTCTAGGGTTGATGTTGGAAATGATCGACACTCATAAACCAGTGAATGGTAGCAGCCACAGTAATAGGACCTAACGGGGGTCCGGCGCTTTGCTGGTCTTAACAGTTGACCAAGTATTTTCGCAAATATATTGCGCGGTATTTTGGTGCTGTTCTATTGCAGCAAGGCCGCCCTGTAGCTTTTACGAGCCGGACGTTTTGGGGCGCTGGAACCCCTTACACCACCGGGGAACAGGAACTGCTTGCTGTCTTGCTTTAAAAGAGTGACGCTGCTATCTGAAACACAGGCCCTTGACGCTGAAAACGGACCATAAACTTCTTACGTTTCTACAAGGTGTGCCTTCTCTAAACCGTCTACAGGCTAGGTGGATGTAGTATCTAGCACGGTTTGACTTCGACTGGGAGATTTTGTCTGGCTCTCTGGATGTGGACGACACACTCAGCAGGCACCCTTGATTGCATGCAGCCATCCTGTCAGTCAGAATGCGGCGCACCGCATCTTTGAACCTGTCGGTTTCACCCTCCGATTTGTCTTTGTGCATTAAGGCTGCCGCCATTACTGAACCTTGGTTTACTGCACGGGTTACCTTTAGCTGCAAGACGGTCTCTGGCTTCGCAGGGAAAGCTCTCATCGGCAAATCGTCGTTCCTAATGACGGCTCTCTGCAGCGTGAGCTCCTTTCCGGTTCCCTTGATGGGGACCATTAGTGGGGCACCCTGGCTGCACGCAGTTGGTCGAAATTCTTAGGCGTCCTTTCTGGTGGCATCGGATGGCTAAGGATGCCGAGAATTACGTCCTTTCCTGCGATTTGTGCCAATACAACAAGTCAGCTTCTGGTAAGCCTCCTGGACTCCTACAGCCTTTGCCTGTCCCTGGGGCTCCTTGGGAGAGTGTGTCCATGGACTTCGTTATTGTGCTGCCCAAAACTGAGGAGGGATACGACGTGGTGTTGGTTTTGGTTGACTTCCTGACAAAAATGGTTCACCTTGCACCCACCATTTCACCCTGCACCGCAGAGCACACTGCATGTTTGTTTTTTAACAACGTTGTGCGTCTGCATGGCGTTCTCACAATGATGTGTCTGATCACGGTAGTCAGTTTACTAGTAGACCCTGGGATGTCCTGGCGAAGCTGGTAGGCAGGCGGTTTAATCTTTCTACTGCTCACCACACCCCCAGTCTGGTGATCAGACCGAGCAGGCTAACAGAACCCTTGCCAACATGTCGTGTAATTTTGCAGTTCATACGTTCATACGTTCATACGTTCATACGTTCATACGTTCTGCTTGGTATACCTATCTGACGGCGGCTGAATCCGCTATACATAACGCCGTTAACTGTTCGAGTGGCCAAAGCCCTTTCTTTTTGAATTATGGATACAATCCTGTTCTGCCTGTTTGGCGTGAGCTTGATGTTAACGTACCTGCGGCTAAAACGTTTGCCAAGTCGTTCATATCCCGTCTGATACCGATGCTAAGGCTTGTCTGGACTCAGCTCAACAGCGCACTATTACAGACTATTACAACAAGTCAAAACGAGACACCACCTTCACCAAGGGCCAGCTGGTCATGCTGAGCACCAAGAACCTGCGTTCTCTGGTCGAAGGGTCTCGTAAGCTGTTGCCACGCGGGATGGTTGGTTCGGCTGGTTCGGATGGTTCGGACGCATGGTTGGTTCGGCTGCTGTAAAGCTCGAACTCCCCTTTGATCTGCGTCTCCATCCTACTTTTCACGTATCTTTTCCTACTCCTACTTTTCACGTGTCTTTTGGTCCGTCTGTAGCGCGGGTCTGTACCTGATCCGGCAGCGCCTGGTCCCCCTGCTGCTACCGAGGGAGCGCCCACTACTTGGTTGCCTGGTAAGCAAACCATGCAATCCATTTAACGCATTTTGGACTACCGGACCGGCAGTGTTCACAAGTACTTAGTCAAATGGGCTGGGTATTCACTTGGGCATAATAGCTGGGAGCCAGCGCGCAACTTCACCCCTGGTCTAAAACCGTTGCTTGACGAGGCTCGTCTGCGGACTCAGTCTAAGGTTGCAGCGCGGTAGCTGACAAGGCCAATCTTGTTTTGCACGGCAGTCATCATGCGACGGGGACGTCGCATCTAGAGGGGGGATAATTGCAATATGTATGTAACTGTAATATATGTATATATATGTATATATCTACGTAAGATTTCTGCTAAGCTCGCGGTTCTGTTGTGTAACTGTCGACTGCAGGTTTGTCCAGCTCGAGTTACTTTAACACTGCTGTAACTAACTAAAACATAGTCATGTTTGATGACTATAATTACAGGTCTAACTGATACTGATGTTAGTTAACCGGCGGCTTGCGACGACCGTTGGTTGAGTTCGCCATTCAATTGCCGCACCAGCTTGGTGCTGACCTGCAGGCCGCACTGCTACGGAAGTCCCATACCTGCGTATGGGCGGGGGGCTCTATTATCTGAATAAAGCTGGGACCTGTGTCTCTGGTTCGTCTGGTCAACCGATTTAGGAGTAACTCGTGCTTCAATTACAGTCACCTGAAGATTGCGTCGCCCGGCCGTACTGGGGGGAGTTTTTCGGCTTGCCAAAATGAGGTCCCAGTGGGTTTTTCAACTTCTATTCATCCAAACCACTTGCCTCGATCGGTATCTTTCGATACCACCACTTTTGTGGTTGTATATTTACTACTCAGTGTGCTGGTTCAAGATTTTGCAAAGCTGCACATAGAAAAATGGTTGGGGGCCGCAGTTCGCTCGACTAGCGTTTTTCTCATTAATCGTTGTGGCTTTCCCAGCTGGTCATTAAAATCGGTATCCTAGTCGAGACGTAGCACTGGGATAGTTAGTCGCCGGATGGCGGCCGCAGAGTTTTCATGGTCATCGGTTTTCGCTCTTTTCTCCGTATTCGTTTTAGCACACCAAGTTTTTTGTCGTCGGGGCCGTACTTGCCGGGAAGTACAGTCCCTGACGGGCTCCGAGATGTAGCAGTGCATTTCGACGATTGCCTTTGGATCTGGTAAGGCACGTGGACGATGGAAAGGCGTCGCTCGCGATGTCAGGGGTTTGGGGAGCTTGCGCAAATAAAGTTTCCTTTCATGCAAAAGTCGCGAGCCAACCACAGAGAAATTAACGACGGTTTCGTTGCAACTGAGGGTACTTGTATGTCCCTGTATGCCATACAATTTCCTACTCGAGCAACAGACGGTGCGTGCGTTGTTCTTAAATCGCTGCGTGCGTTGAGGCGTTCTCAGTGATGGCCCACCTTCCCTGATGGTGCTCATACGAAACGCTGAGGGCGTCGGGTTTGGCCCCTCAATGATAAAAATATGCCGGATGATGAAAATGGGTTGCATGAAAAGAAAGGTTCGGTGCGCGTGAAAGCGCGAAGGCAAGCCATCTTAGCAGTGGCTAGGAAGGAAAGGAAAAGAAAGGGAAATTTGGTGGAACCTGATTACCATTTCAACAGGAGCAGCAGAAGTGAGACTGGCTGAAAAACTTGGGTGAATAAATAATTCTGCTACAGTGCATAGCAAAACAGTTTGCAAGAAGCTCTTTATCCTGCTGCGCCCGCCACTACCAGCCGCCCGCGCTTGGTAAAAAACGGCCATTCCGTGTCGCATTTGCGTCAGCGCCATTAGGTACGTTAAAAAGGTTTATAGAAAATATTTTGTTCCCTTTATACGGCAATTATATGTGCACCGGCTGCAAAGTAAGCATTCATTCTCGCTGCCCTCTTAACCATCCTTATCCTGGCATGTGCATTTTCGGAACCCTTGCTACACTTTTGTTAGGATGTCGTCACACATCATAACTCTCATATACTTTATATACGTTTCGGAGGAATTGGTAGTACCAATTTGGTACTATATCATCTAACCACCCCCGGCGTGTCCATCCAGCAGCCGCACCATTGGGGGCGGTACACGACAGCGCATACATCGTGTGCTTAGCAGCGGTCTATTTTGAACGTTGTCGGGCAGGGGTGCCTACCTTACCCCTCCTTACGCCCATCCTCAACCTACACCACCCACAGCCTTCCATCTGTTGTACCACGACTTCAGAAAAGTATTGATCGGCAGATCCCGTGATGTAATATGCCCAGTATACATCACCATCACCATCACCATCACCATCACCATCACCATCACCATCACCATCACCATCAAAGTGACAAACGCATGCAAATGCAGTAAATTCAGTCGATACGTTGCATCTTTCAAATGAATACCTTATAGAGATTATGGGCCGCCCGTCTTGAGGCTGAGGGGCCCGGCGGTGCCGTAGACAGCCACAGCCAGTCGGCAAGTGATGGCTTTCCGCTTCCCCGGCAGTGATGCGTCTGCGTAAGCTCCATCTCTGCTTGAGCAAGGCGGTTCAAGAGCTATCAGTTCGTCTGGACCGTACAAACTTATGAAGCTTATAACCATGCAATCGTAAGAAGGACCTTGTGCAAATGTACAGCCCGAAAGGGCGTGGGGAAAGCGAAGGGATGAAGTGGTGAGGTGCATGGGGAAGGAGAGGTCACACTGTAAGCCCGCCTGCAATAAAACGCTTACGGACAGTCGTTTCGCCAGATGTTATGTTATTATACGTACGTTGGAGCGCCTTATGTTGCCCAAACGCCCGCACCAACTTTGATTTTACCGCGAAAATGCAGACGATGTTCATAAAACAGAAAAAGCCGCTTTACATGTTCGTTTTGGGCCCTGGTTCCCATTTCCTGCTGAAACCCTTGCCGTTATTGCCGCGATGTATTGGCCAGCAGTATGGTAAACCATGCAGCAGCCATTAAGCGTATGTCGTTCCTCATGTGGTAGAGAATCTACATTAGTATTCATAGCTTGCCTTACAGCGGTGATGAGCATGTCGGAGGGCATTTCAATGCGGTAATCAATAAATGCTGTCGCCGTATGCATACGGTAGTCATCATCAATGCGTTAGAAAAACGACAGAGGACAGGTAGGCATCATTGCTGGAGAAATGCTGGGCAATTAATGCAGTAATCATGTCCTCGGAAAGGAGCGAGCTGATAGAACGGACAGCAGCATAGTGCGTGACACCAAGGCTGACTTTAACTTTGCCGCAACGTACAATTTCAGCTCTGCCTGTGTTCTCGGCAATCTCCCCATGTGAATCCATTACGATAAAATTATGTTATCCAAAAAATTGTACAGAATCACTTTGGGCCTTTATAAGTTAGAAGTTGAATGGTTTGGGCGCATAACGGTGCTGGTGTAAGGCGAATACTCCTGTGCCCAGGCGTCTGGTACATGATAGTGGCATATTCCAATTATTCCGTCGATATTTATTACCAACATTTTTATCTAGCGTGTGTACGATCAGATTGACGAACCTGCTGGCCTTTTCATCTGAACTCTGGAGCATAAACGTTTGGAAACAACGGTAAGATCATACTTGATGCATTTTTTTAATGTAAAGACTTCGCCGATTCGCGCAACTCACATCAAATAGACGTCGAAGGGACGACGCAGCCATCTTGAGGGATTTTCGAGCAGCTTGGATTGACAGTAGTTTGCAGTAGAATATCAATCGACAGGGACCGTGAAGCAGAATGTAGCAAGTTTGAGTTCGCGCTTGCTAATCAGAATAGGAACAGGTTATCCCTGCATTTAATGGATTGATTGCCGGTAGAACCCCGTTACGCACGAAAATGTATACGCCGTTAACTTAAAAGGCTTGCGATTTTCGGGCAGGGTAGTTAATCGGATTAATTTCGCGACAGCGACGGTGGGCAGGGGACAGCCACTTTCTCACGTGCGAAGTCGATTGCAATGCACGTCGTTTAACAAAACCATATATAATCCTGGTTCTGGTGTACGCGTCCGTCGCTTGAGCGCTTTAGTTGTCTTCGGCCTGGTGTTCCATACGAAATCGTCACTCGCAGCAAAGCATCTTGCGCCTTGCAACATGTATCCTTTGCAACATAAATATACAATATACCAATAGCATGGTTGTATACAATGAAGATACCTTGACTGGCTGGGCGCTACTCGGGCGCAGCAGCTGCTGCTGAGGATACCTGCTGAGGACGCCGATACGACATGGCGCGAAATGTTGAAGTGTGTGTGTGGTTCAATAATTACAAGACAATGAAAGGATGCGGCCGCAAGAGGCGAACACGAAACATGGCGAGCTTCAATAGGGACATGCGACCGCGTCTCCTTTTGTGGGCCTTTCCTAAGGATTAAATGAAACCCATGGCTTTTACTTTAGAGGCTTGCTCGTATATGCGGGTGTATGAGTGCGGGTGTGGTGCAACAATACTTACACTTTATCTGTTATCGGGAGCCCCCTCAGATCTGAGCAATTCAGATCCTGCTTGTGGCGGGAGCTGATGCAGAGGCTGTTGCGAGTTCGGCATGGGGAACCCAATTGATTATGTTTTATGCAGCAACATTTATGGTTTTGTATAAATATCTGCCTGTAAGTATTGCAAGTTTAGTGATGCTGACGTCGATACGTTTGCACGCCTTTCGCCTGGCAGCCAAGCAGTTTCCAATATCCAACTTTGGCATCATGAGGCATGCACTCAAGCCATGGAGCTCGTTACTCAATGGTCAAAGTGTATTGTCCTGTGATTCATCCAGTGAATTTGTACGCCTGGAGCGGAGCGCAAGACATTCAATTTTCCCGTATTGTACAGGCTCTCGTATGACAGCGGAGGACGTATTACCTTCCGTATGACAACGTGTTGACCAAAAACGCTTCTTCAAGGCTGAAAATTGTTTTTATCAAAGCATTCGGATATCGAGCCAGTGCGCGATCCTTTGCTCTTGCCGTGGGGTGATCTTTTGGTTTCTTTCGCCGCTTTATTATCTTTGGAGCTAGAAATTTACCTAAGAATGTAAAACTGGTAGCATCTTGTATGCGCTTGTCCTTCCTGGAACTCTGGGAATGTTGAACCCTTTTGTTGGAGAACCACCGTCCATTTCGCCAAGTCAAAAAAGATACCGTGATCATTTAAGCTTAACTTAATTCATCCCAGTAAAATGTAAGCCGTGTGCCTTTGTGCTACGACAGTCGCGTACGGCTGAAAAAATGCACGGATTATAAGTCTGCCACCAACAGTTACATTATCTTGCTGTCGAATTGCATAGTTGATGGATGCAGGTTATAAGTCATTAATTCGGGCGCCAACCTGACATAGCTTTCTTCCTGACAACAAAGGCCGCCGACGAACAGATTCTTCGGTGTGAACCAGGGTCCCACAGTTTGTTATCAATCCCCAAGGAAGACTTGCCCGTGATATTGTTCATTGGAAGTCGACGATAACGTTGATGGGCCTAGAGCTGCTATTTTGAAGGTGTGGGCTGCAGAGGACAGGTCCTAATTGCTGAGACCTGACGCATCTTTAGAGGTAAGCACTTAAGCTTGCAATGTCCTATGCGTGCCTTAGGAGGGCTAGCAAGTCGAGCCTACGCCCATCGGGGGTACGCCATTAAACTAGTTACACATCTGCCTCATGAGTCTTCATTGTCACTATATACGTGCTAATGGAAGGTAATTTGATACTCGCCTTGCTGAGCCTTCGCTGCGAACATGCGCATATATACACACTTTTTAGGACAACTGCACCCGGAAGCTTTAATCGTCGAGGGTGCAGCAATATGGAAGCAAGTGCTGAAAAAACATCAACGCTTGGCTCGTGCGACAAGTTAGATCATCGGCGAGTTTTGAGGAGAAACTTGTGTACCGGTATGTTGCAGGAACACTAACTGCCATCCAGGCTTTGGGCAGATGGAGGCGTTAGCTCTTGTCGCCAAGGCATCAAGTCGTCATTCGCTCTTCAAGGGTGTAACATTATATAAGCGAACCAGCAAGTGGCGGGCTCAGGTAAAGCGCCAGACAAAGCCCTCGACCGGCCGTGCTCACCTTACATATCTTCAATGCGTGTTGCGTTTTCCCAGTGGAACTGTTGTCATATATAATGCTCTAATGGCGGCGACATTTTCGCAGATGTCCCCCACTTGGTACGTCAAGATAGCGCTTTTGTCCCTTGGGCATTACTAGGAAATGCCTGCAACTGTTTTAAGAAGAAATCATTCAGTAAAGGAGTGCTGTATTGTGTGCATACAAATTTCCTCGCTTCACCACCGCCCGCCTTTTTTCGACGTCTGTCACCGTTATGTCAGCAGCCGTCTGCCTTCGCACATTCCCGGCCTGTCCTACACCACGCAGATTTCGCATGGTGGCAGGACCGTCACTCTGGGTGACTATAACACGGAAGAGGAAGCCGCCCGTGTCTTTGACCGCGCCTGTATATGCAAATATGGCAAGGATGCCGTGTGTAACTTCCCGTTGGAGGACTATATGAGCGAATGGGAAGAGCTATGGGGTACGTAATCTTCAAGGAAACAAAGAAACAAAGCATTTATATATATTTTGTTTTCAATGAGCCGCAAGCCTTGGTAAAACGCAATGCTCATTCGCCGCCGCCGGCACGCCGCGATCATTAATCGGATGCAGTGGAATATACGTGTGTGCATACGGGTACAGTGTACAGCAGCACCAGGGAGGCGTCGTAAATCTGCTCTGTATTCTTCCTCGCTCACATCGGTCAACTCCGCCATGCAATGGCGTGGTTCCTGGATAGACACGTCGGCACGCATATAGGCAACTCAAATAGGTACCCCCCCCATAACATTTAAAAAACGTCGCTCCATTCCCTCGCTTCAATTCAAACCTCCCCGGAATCGGATGACGTCGCCCAGTTGGGCAATGGGAGGGCAGCCCCCGGGGGAACCACGCCTCGCATGTCCCTCTCTCTTCCGTCCCTCTACCCCCCGCCTTCACCTTATGCCACCTGCCACATGTCTTTCTCTTCCTCCTTCCTCCTTACCGCGTGTCTGTGTGCGTGTGTTTGCATGTCTGCCTTCCCACAACCAACATCCCTACAGCCACGACTATTCCCGCCCTCCTAATCAAATTCAAAGAAGAGCGCCAGAGATGCAAGGCCGCTCGGGGACCTGGAGGGGTCCGTGCTGGTGCGCAAAATCAGGCATCGCAGCCGCGGCCGTCGCAAGAGCTTGTCGTCGACGGCGACCAAGCGCAGAGTCCGCGACCTCCTTCGTCTTTTTTTGTACCCCGGATTAAGCCGGCTACCTTTGCGTCGAACCGGAAGGCACAACCACGACCACCTCCGGCTTCCTCCCTGCCTCCCAAGCCGACTGTTGCTGCTGCGGCTGCTGCTGCTGCTGCTGCGGCTGCTGCATCGCCCTTTCGCACCGATAACGCCTTTAAGGATGAGCTGCATGCTGGGCTCTACAGCTTTTTGAAGGCTGCAGGACAAGCTGCGCTTGGCCAGCAATTCGAGCAGGATAGGTGGGTGCGGCAGAGTGATATACATAGTAACTTAGAACGGTATGTGTTCAGTTTGGATTTTTCCTTTCGTGTGTTCCCGGAGCCGACGCAGATTGCGACAATTTAACGTTTTTTGGGGGGCCTTATGCCGCCCAGTCGTCCTCTTCGGCATTCATGCATCGCGAAGATTATCATAGCACACAGCCATAGCTGCGATATAGCGGCGATGTTAGTGACATCTTCACAGGCCTTGTTTGTATCTTGTTTGTTAAGTCAACGGTTCTCCTTTCCATGCAACGTGTAAGCGCGTATGTATGTATGTTGTTACAGGGTGGTTAACTTCGCCAGCGGCCCCCGTTCCCGGGGCAGTCCCTGCTCTCTCCCCTGCTAGAGGGGCACCCTAATCCGTTCACCCCATCCGACTTCAGAATGTATTCGTTGGGTTCAGCAACTCACCACTAGCATCCAACCAAACCTAGCGGATCAACGGCGCCACAACTTAGTTCCTGGTCAGATCGCAAGTTGATTTTATCACGTCCATATGATGGGGGGCCACCTCGCATTTCAACTCTCCTCAAACACCCTAGGAGCCGGCAGGCGGATTTGAACCTGGGTGGGCCGGGAGCAGAAGTCAGGCCTTAACCTCTGCCAGCCGCCTTCGCGTATGTATGTAAACTTGTGTGCATGTGTCCTTTTGCATGGTGTGTAGGTGTGTAGGTAGGTAGGTAGGTAGGTAGGTTACGCCTTCTGGAGTTGCGTTACTAACCTCCAAGGGGTGTGTGGGCCCCTATGAAACAGGTATTTGATTACCTTCCTCCGTCCTTTCCCTTTCCCTTTCCATCAACCTTATTTCCAAGCCAACCATCCCTGCAGTCCCATGCCCCGCCGAACACCCGCCCCATCCCTCTGGATGTCTTGCCACGCATTCCACGTGGTTGCTCCTTCCCGGTTGCCTAAATTGGCATCCTGGCTGCATCTCATTGAGGTATCCCCCGCGCCTCCGACTGCCTTTGTACAGGATTCGCCCGGAGGTGGTTGCTGCCCTTGAGGGCTCGAGTACGACCGGCAGGCATGGCAGGGGACTCGACTTCCAAAGCGCCTACTTTCCAGGAACTGCCTACGCTCATCCTGGCCCTTCCGGACAACTCTGCGCTGGGAATCCCGTCGGCGGGCCACTCAACCAGATCCAGATCCAAATCCAAAATTTTAATGACCACCGCCGTACTCATGCCGAGCAGCTGAAGATGGAAATGGAGCCTTCCGAGAATATCGAAAGGGCCACCAGCGACGATGGCGATGGCGATGGTGCCCATCACCTCGAGCCTACACCTGCCACCTCTTCGCCGGCTGCTGTCCGACGCCGAGCCACGGCATCACGTCCCGCCGCCACCGGCACCGCTGGCGGCGGCGGCGGCGGCGGTTCACCACCTGATGTACTGTCCCCCGCGTCCAGTAGCCCTAACCGAGACCGCCTGGCGTCGTTGCTATGGAGGGTGCGTTCCGTGCCATGTCCGCAGGCGGCGACGGAATGGCCAATCCCTGAGGCAGCGGCGGCCGCGGCGGCGGCGCCACCTGACGAGCTCGTGACCGTGTTCACCGGCGCTGATGGCGCATCGCGACGCGAGGGCCTTGCGGCGGCAACCCGGCCGCCACCGTCGATGCCGCTGCTTAATTTTCCGCCACCGATGCGTTTGCATGGCAGCAATTACGTCCCCAGTTGGAGACGCGCAAGTGTGTGTTCTGGCCGCATGGGAATTGAAGGTGGGTGCTTGAGACGGGGATAGATGTGAAGGACTTGCAGCTGATGCTGGGACTAAGGGTCAGTTCCCTAGCTCTGTATCAGCGCCAAGTAACAAGAGCTTTGTGGCTGGCAGGAGTCGATCTGAAGACCTACGGCTGGGCGATTTGCATTTTTTACATTTATGTACCGCATTCCCGTTTCCAAGGGCATCACCGCGCACGTTCGCCTTTCGCCCTGCATGTCTCTAACCCGCTGACGTACATACGTACATACACGTCGTGTGACATGTTGCAGGAGGGGAGTTCGACGGCGAGTCCGTTTGGAAAGGACACTCGGAGGTTTTCTTATCGGGCTCCGGAACAGCCGCTGGTGACGCCGACGCCACTGCAGCACAGCAACGACGTGTCGTACATTCGCCTGTGGCCCAACCCAGCGTGCCACAGCCTCCATCCTACCCCGACAATTTCCGCGCTCAACAACACGGCAGTGACGGCGGTGCATTGGACGAGATGCCGTACATGGTTGACTACACCTCTGGAAGGGTCGTACTGCCCACCAGACTCGGGTTCCCTACGTTACCGCTGCTGAATCTGCCGGCGCCCCGTACGCTTACTGCTAAGCGGACTGTACGGGAGGAGATGGCTGTGGTGGCGGCAGCGGAGGTGGAGACAGATGACGTTGGCGGCACCGGCTTCGCCGCCGCCGCGCCGCAGTCGCCTGTTGCTTCTACCCATGCCGTTCCTAGTGGTTTCAGAGCGCTCGGAACGCCCCTCCAAGAACTTGGCCTGGATCCTTCGCATGCAGCCGTACCTCGTGGTATGGTCGTTCGCCGTGTTCATTACTCCACAAGCCCCTGGCCACCAGCCAAGCGACTGCGTCTGGCAGCGATAGCGGCGGCGGCGGCGCCGCCGCCGCCGCCGGCCCCCCAGACTGATGAGGAACCTATGGGCGTAGTTATGACGACGACGGACACGGCAGCGGGTGAGGGGGAGGAGGAGGAGGAGGAGGTTGACCGCAATGCGCGATTCGCAAAGAGCAGCGGCAGCGATGGCGCCGGCAGGGCGGCAGAGTGCCGTAGCGCCGTCGTCAGGCGCTGGCGCTGCGGACCGCCGTCGGGGGAGTCGGCGGCAGCGATGGCGCGATTTACCGCAGCTGCCGGGGAACGCGGCACCGCCGTCGCCGCCGCCGCATCTCGCCCACCGATGACCACAACGCGTGACGGCGTATCAAGGGAAGGCAGCTGCCGGCAGCGCCCGCCGGAGCCGGAGCCGCATACCTCGCCGGTACCCGCTGCTTGCGCGCCGTCTTCGGCAGCAGTAACACTCCAGCCCGGTGCTACGTGTGCAAGCCCTGTCGCGGCGCCACCCGCGGCCGCCGCCACCGCTGCTGCCGCAACAGCAGCAGCAGCAGCAGTTGAAGGGCTTAGCATGGAAGAGCTGCACGAGCTCTTATTGGCGGCGCTTAGCCGCCGTGAGGAGGATTTGGTTCAGCAGAAGTCGCTTGCGCGGATGCGGCAGCAACAGCAGTATCGGCGGCAGCAGCAGCAGCAGCAACAGCAGGATGTGCTACTGCGCCTGGCAGAGGCATTTGCGCTGAGGACCGGGGTGCTGACGGAGGCGACCCGCCCTCAAGGGATCATCGAAGAGCCAGCGGCGGCGGCTGCCGGCGGCGGCGACACTGATGCGATGTGGTACGGCGATTGCAGCGAAGGCGGACGCGCCACCGCCGCCGCTGGCGGTATCCAACTGCGCAAGCGACGGTGCGCAGACGACGATGACGTCGGGGGCGTTATCGCAGTAAATGACATGTTGTACGACAGGCCTGCCTCGCCCGTACCGCTGCTGGCGACAAAAGTGCCGCGTCCGCTGACATTACAGTCGTTACCTTCACTGCCGCCGCCTCCGGCGCAGCAGCAGCAGCAGCAGCAGTGGCAGCAGCAGGAGCATAAGTCCAGCGGCGGGGGCGCCGCAGTGGCACCGCCGCCGCCGCATCGCCAGGAGTGTACGGCAGTGTCCGCCGATAGCCCGGCTTCGTCTTCTTCTGGCGGCGGCAGCATCATACGCGACGTGCGCTTCCTAGCCGATACTCCCGCGCCTGCCGCGGCTGCCTCAGCACCGGCGGCGGCAGCAAGGAGAGGCCACCAGCACTTGCCATCAGCAAATGCACCACCTCGCCTGTCTCTACAGACGTCTCACCCCGGAGGCTCAAAGGAAACGGAGGCGCTGAAGAATCCCAGTTCCCAGGCCACACGCGGAAGCAGCGGTGGAGGCTCAATCGACAGGACGCCCTCGCATGTGTCGCCTCTGGTGGTGGCTCCTGCTGCCGCCGCCGCCGCAGCCGCCGTCAATGGTGGCGATGCTGCCGCCGCAGGCGGCAGCATGTTCATCAATCAGGCCCCAGGTCAGAAGTGGCGGCTACCAGCATCCCTCCACGATTGGGAGCACACGCTGCATGAGCGACCGCGCGCCCCGGCCGTACGTCTGACGCTGTGCCGGAACGACGAGTACGACAGCTACAGCGTTGGCGGCAGCGTTGGCGGCGGCAGCAACCGTGGTGCCGATGCGAGTTTGAGCATTGAGGTTCCGCTCGTGCTGCGGGTGCCAGCCAATCTGCAGCAGCAAATCTTGTCGATGCTGAAGTAGGGAGGATAAAAAAACAAAAAGGCGCTCGCACATACGTACATACATACATACACACCCCGGTGTCGTACAATATGTTGTACTACCTAGGAAGCCGATTGATTGATGTTTTTCCTGGCGTTCGGCGATAGTAGACAGCGAGTGCGGCTCTCCGAGATCCTTGATCGGTCATCTGGGTCAGATCAGATCTGCTGCTGCTGCTGCTGCTGCTGCTGCTGCAAGATCTGATCTGCAGAACAGCCAAATCTACTGGGGGATTGATGCTCAGGAGCCCAGCTCGCCCTACAAATTCATCCACTCCACGCCACGCACGAGAAATAAGAAGACGCAAATTATACTGATACAGTACAGACAGCTAGAAATGAAGCCCTGGCGCCTGAGCTTGGACTTAGGCGCGCGCGTGCGCGCGCGCAAGCGTGGGCCGTAGAAATGTGTTGATGATGTGTGTGTGTAACCTAGATAGCTAGCGCGGATGTAGGTTGTATTAGCCGCCTACTGGATCCTGCTTGAAAAATCAATGAGGAATAAGCTTTGCTTGCTCCTGCGCCGAACTTACTTTGCCCGTTTGCGGGGGCCGTTTTCCGGAAATAAAAAAAGTTGGGCCGGTTCCGATTGTGGGTGCGGAGCGAAAAGAGAGCGATGCCCGTGGAGGAACGGTGAAGATCTGAAGGGATGACCCTTTACAACCTCAGGCATGGTGTGGTGCACAGTGTGGTGCACAGTGTGGTGCGGTGTGGTGTGTGTGTATTTTTGCTGATAACTTCGATGGCTCTTGAGTAAAATTAAAGGGATGCGATTCAAAGATCGATGCAAAAATCACAGCATCACTGCTGTGTGACGATGATAATGTGCTGTCCTTCGATGTCCTTTGGTGTCTGTACGTCGGGATAAGCTAGTAGTACATGACTGTCGTACTCTGTGGGCCTTCGATTCACAGCTTCTCGTCCTTCTGCGTCGGCTCAGGTTCTCGCTATCTATTGCGTGTTTGGTACTCAAGCCTACAGGACTGCCCATGCTCGCAGGCTTTGTTACATTATATTTCCTTCGTCTAGGGCTTTTTAGTACGGAGCTTCTTTTTGGGTGGATGATTGTACTGAGGACATGTATTGTGTGCGTTTTTGCAATAGTCATCTGGTACGGCAGGTGCTCGGTCGTGTCGGACGGTTTTTCGGTGCGGCTTGCCGGCTGGGTGGGACTCCGTTTCTTCCCCCAACCTTAGACGCTATCGAAATCTGTTCGAAGCGTTTGGACAGCCGCAGGTTGCTAAAGCTAGAGAAGCGTTGATGCGCGCTGGCAGCTAGGACGGTCTTTGGGAGATGTTGGAGCTTTATTTAGGAGTTTAAGCACGGTTAGACAGGCCTCGATATCATATACCGTGCTGCTCATAATGCAAGAAGGCGCACGCATGTGTTTCTCGATCTTGGGCGGCGCATGGTTCGCGTCTGCTGGTAAATGGTTGGTTTTTCCTGGACGGGGGAACTTGAAGCATGGTTCAGAGGGAAGCAGCACCAAGCCTCGTTGGCGTCGGGTTTGGAGACCTGGATGCTGCCTTCCGAGGTCCTTTGTTGCTGGGTGGTTGTAACAGCTTTACAGTTCCTTGCGCAGTCGTGTAATAAGCTTCATACCCCAAAGCTCGTTTGAGATATTTATGATTTTCTGGTGCTTGGTCGGAAAGCGGAGGCTGGATGGTCCGGTCAAAAGTTGTAATTAGGGCCGCTAGGAAGCTCTGCTTTCGTGACCATTCTTCTTTTGTGCAGTCCTTGCCGGTGTGGGTGCGAATGGCGCCGGATGCAAGGTGAGCCAAATGGTAGAAACAGGAGGTTTGCACATCAATGGTAGCTTCTTTTGGACAACCTAGCTGCAGCTTTTACAGCCAACTATCGGCGCCTTTGCCTTTCCCGAGTAGCCCCTCGGAGGCAGGTTCGCGGACGGAGACAAGTCCTTGCGACTGCCACAACATACCTTTTTCTGCATTAACTTGGTGATCATTTGTTATATTCTTCCTGCCTTTTCAGAAGTTTACTTAGCGTATCTGCCCTATAGACCGGGATAGTTGAGACTCGCGTTATCTAGCCGAGACTCGCGCTTCTAATTATAGCCATGTTTGTACCAGTACGTCACCGGGTTGGCAGTGCATCAGCATATTAAAAATGCTGATGCACGGATTTCTTCCGCGGCCGCAAGGATTCGTAGGAGTTGCAATTCCTCTGAGCTGTAGTCATGAACCAAGCAATTTTGCTTTGCTAAAATGTCTTGCACCGCGTCAAGTACGTTGTAAAAGAAGTGTTGGCCGTTTATTTTCGCAAGGCGAGGACCGGATCGTGCGGATCCTGCCGGACATCGAACTGGTTGGATTCAAAATTTGCTACTTTCGCAGCTTTCCGCAGGCCTCGATAAATTTCACAAAAGGCCACTAAGAAACTCACATGCCGATGTGAGATAATGGCGCCATAGTTGGTTGATGTAATGTGATGATAATAGTGATGTATGTCAGACGGCAACCGGAGGGCAGAAGGGTGCACCCGGATATGGCCGACTTCTATGGTTCCGGCGCGGAGCTGCAAACGCGTCCTCCTCTTGGTTTAGTCCGGTCTGCGGCCAAACCGCAGCCGTGCCATGCCATGGCGCCCTCGCCCACGCAGGCAGGTCACGCAGGGCACGATCGATGGCGCGCCACGTTTCGTTAGCCACAGCCCATCTTGCACTGCTTCACACACGATTATACCACACCTCCGATAACAAAGCTATTCGTATGCATACCTTAGGTGTGGATAGGTATGCACCTGCCTCGCATTCAACTGCATAGCGGTTGACTGATTGTTGCTTTGGGCGAAGGACCGGACGGTGAAGAACCATGCGGAAGGATTGGATGGGCGCATGCATGCATCGTTGTTGCCACTCGGCTTCAGAAGGTTTATCCTCACGAAGTGCCATTATATCTTATCCTTGAAATTTAAAATGTCGCGCGGGTTGTTTCCGGGCAGGAGGGAGCCTTCCGGGAGACCCCGAATGCCCCTGCCTGCCCAGATGAAGAGGTAATTGTTTGCCAAGCAGAGCCAAAGCACGTGGGCCAAAGCACTTAAGTGCCACCCATGGCCCCTCCCAAAGTCGGTCCGTTCAAGTTTAGGTAGGCGAGGTGGGAAGGGGGTCGCCCGCAGGAAGTGTGGGGGGCCAACACCAGCCGCCCGCTTTTTTCCAGTTGGGCAGCCATTGAGCACGGCCCGCGAACATCAGCTTGACCCACTGGGCGCCGTGTGTTCACATCCGCACTGCTACGCACTGTTGCGTTAGATGGTAACATCGGCCCTGTGGATTCCTCTGAGTGCGTGTGCACCTGCTTTTGGTGCACCTGTGTAGTGTCCTGGAGGGCTTATCACGCGATTGGTACTTTCCTAAAGTTGTGATTTATCAACCTGTCTGCGAGCGTCATGTGGGGGGCGCTGTGTGTGTATTTATGCATGTATATATGTATGTATGTATGTATGTATGTATGTATGTATGTATGTATGTATGTATGTATGTATGTATCTAAGTATATATACGTGCATGCAAGTACGTAAGCATTTCAGACGGCGGAAGCATGTCTAGAACGTGTGTTGCATTATTGCTGCCTGTGTTATCATAACACCTGATGTTCTATCCTAAAGAAGTAACCAACTGAACAAATGGGCCTGGTGCGCATGTATAATTCGAGCATGCAGCGGGCAGTGCGTGCCGTGGAGGAGAGTCGTCAAGGACAATATCACAGAGGCGTTCGACTTTGTTCATCGATCTGATGGGTCCCAAATCATCTTTTGCGCCTAGATGCTTTCTGTGCGCCTGCCTCTGTATCCTCCTCCCGTTCTGTATATCCTTCTTTTCCTTGCCGGATGATCTTTTTGCAAAGCAGTGGAAAGCAAACCTCTCTCCTTTCCACCGAGAGTTATCAATCACACACCGCGCAGAGGGGAGATCTTAAGCCCGAAGCTTCTTGGATTCTGGATTCTGTTTTTTAGTAATCGTAATCCTGAAAGAATATCCTTGAATCTATGCCTTGGTCCTCTGTCCAGAGCTTTAGCCCGGAAGTGAGGGTGTAAGTGGTGCCGTACATGTCGTCCTCATTTCCTCGGTGCCATCGCCACATTTTAGATAAGTATGCGTGCCCCATCCTGTGTCCATAGGGTTTTCTCGTCGCTTCTTGCCGGGGCGGCTTTCTTTTGGTGGTCCTCGTCTACTTCCATGATGAATTTGCCGTGTTGAGAGAATCTCCCTAAGGTGGTGGTTGCTGCTGCTGCTGCTACTGCTGCTGCTGCTACTGCTACTGCTAGTGTTACTGCTGTTGCTAGTGCTGCTGCTGCTGCTGCTGCTGCTATTAGTGTTACTGCTGTTGCTGTTGCTGCTGCTATAGCTGCTTTGCTCTTGCTGCCATTGCTATAGCTTTTTTTGGTGTTGCTACTGTTGCTACAATTTCTTGCTGTCCCTGTTTTTAACTAAAGCTACCTGGATATCAGGATGGCGTTTTCGTGGTTCTGCTTCAAACCCCGCCGTTAGCATATGCATGCATGTTTTTTCTAAACGAGCTCTGTTTTTTCTAAACCAGCAGAATTTGCCCATTTATGAGGTGTTGGGAGGGGGAATGGACTGTGTGGAGTTTCCAAGAAGGATCCGAGAAGGTTAAACGGTTCTACTCGGTGAATGGCAGATCTAACTGCCACACATGCATACAGGCACACACGCACACAGACACATGGTCGTACAAGTGTACGGACGGAGTTTGGCGGATGGATGGCCAGTTCTAAGGAGTAAGAACTAGCATGCCTATAGAGTTTTGCCTCATGTGAGATTTGAAGAGACAGAAAAAAATAAAGGACGAATGTCGAGTTGGGTGGTTGGTGGTTTAGCTGCATAGCTCAAGGGAAGGAGGAGGGCTGTGGGGCGCCTGCGCGGGGGCCCTCCCCTGCTGTGTTTTTTCTCAGGGATATGTCAACGACTCATTGCTCTTAACCTTCCCTCTCCAACATCAAGGCTTCCCACCAACAACTAATTCGCCATTTCGATAACCATAACCCTACGACGGGTCCCTGCAAATTGCTGGATGTTGCAGTCAGTGACCCGCGACCCCAGCTGCGCATACGTGGGTTACGGTGACCAACGTGAAAAGCCTGGTGAACTGTGTGTGTGTGTGTATGTGTGTGTGTGTGTATGTGTGTGTGTGTGTATGTGTGTGTGTATGTCAAGGCAACCCCGGCAATTATGGATCGGTATAAAAGCTTACAGATATGCAGCAAGTACGAGCTTGTAGTATCGTACTGCATGTCGTACGTCCTGTGTGGTTTAGGGTGAAGGGGAAGTGCCCCCTTCCCGGCCCAGGGGCCTCAGCCTGCCTGACACAAACAGACAGACGGATAGACGTCGATAGACATACGGACAAACAGGCAGACAAACAGACACACGACAGACAGATGAACAATGAGAGACACACGGATCGACGAGCAAACTGATAGGCGGGCAGAGGCGCTGCCATCCCTCACTATGCCCTGTCCGAATCCGACCCATACATGTGGGGCGCTGTTGCACCGGCGACAGCTTTGGCGGCCGCTGCGACAGAAGCCATGAATCCATCCCTTCAGGATGCGCGTCCATGCGAATCTACACGTATAGCCGTACTAGTTCGTAGCTGTTTACCCTGCGTTAGAGCATATACTGCTTTCCTATTGTAATAGGATTAAAGGAAATTTAGGATGGAGCTCATGATGGGGCGGCTGCGGATGTGCATGGGAGGTATGGGGACCTTATACATGGAGTCAGGCTGTCTAACCTGACAATTCTGGATAGGGTTTTGTTTCTCCTTTTCTGGATCGCGTCCTTCCTTTGTTGGTTCGTCTTATTCGTCTTAGGAAGACGTTTGTCTGCAAGCAAAGCAACTATGTTTCCTCGTGCGAGCTGACCGCTTGTACCGTAGGAGACCGCACGTTTATACTTATGGGCTGACATTTGGCGGCAACATCTTGGCAGTTTTGTTGCAAGTCCGTGTGTGGTCTAAACGAGCCCAGAAAGTAAGGGCTACGCAGATTTGACATCGCAGCGCAATGGCCGCCGTATGTACAAGTCTGAGCCGTTTGAGTTCCTTGACATCTGTTGCTAATATACCGGCACTGCGACTTATGGGCGCTGCAAAGAATTAGGGCAGGTCAACTAAGGCTGATCGAGGAGTACAACAATATGCGGCCGCATATTGTTGTACTCTGCCGCCGCGGCGGCAGAGTTTCAACCATGCTCAGCCAGGCTGAGACCGCGTACGTGATCTGACCGGCTGTATCATCACCTGTAGCTGAAAACGTATGTATTTAATAAATGGTTACGTTTTCCTGGAAGCTTTGCACAGTACGCCCGCCCGCCGGGTAGCGTCTCACTTGCCGAGCGTAAAAACGAAACAGTCTTGGCCAAAATGATGGCCGTCAAAGTACGATATAAAGTGTCACCTGGAATATCCATGGCCTAGCGTTGGGTGCGCGTTGTATGTTTCCTCGCGCGGACGGGTCGGACCGCGCGTAGACACCAAGGCATGGCCGTACGCGACGACGGGTCCCTCTTATCATTTAAACATAACCATAAGAGACCAGTAGCAAGTGGTGGTTTGACTTTAGCTCCTCTAAATTTTGGAGCTTAATTACGTGCTTTTGCGCAAGCCTTCGCCGGTCACGTTAGGTTCAACCATCGGGGGGCCTTTATGCAACTCGAACAGTCCGGAATACCTGCTAATGACTATTTAAATTGTAATCTGCCTTGCCAAGAGCCCGCTGTTAACCCCGGGGCCGGCTATCATTGAGCACCTCATGTGGAGTTATGTCCAGCAGCATATCCTACAAAATAATCACATCTTTATGGCTTTTGTTCTTGCATCATGGCTTAACGGCCTTGGCGTCACAGCAGCTGTCGTTGTCTGAACTCTTTGCACAGAGCAGACTGCTGGCCAACCTCAGTAGCGATGTAAACGAAAACCTTCTTCGTCATTTAACGTACATAGCAGCGGCACCTTTTAACACTCCCCTACGGCTGGTGCATGAGCTTCAGCAAGGCCGCGTGGCGCACGCATTCCTCGAAATTTTGGGTGCACATGAAACACTTGACAGCGGCAACATCTCCCCCTGGCTTGACCGGGTCAGGGTATTCCTGGAACGGTACATGTCTGCGGTATGTACAGTGCATCACGGGGACATGGTACTCACCTTGAACCAGACAGCTGTCACAGCGATGCCCATGATGCGACGGGCCCTCCTCGCAAAATTGCTGACTGCCTGGATGACGACCCTGGGCCAGAGGATTCCCGACGACGCGCAGAGAAAGCTGGCGCACGTGATTCGGCAGGTAAGCACGGCCGCCCCGCTTGTTTACTTGCCCGTCTCGCCTAGCATGATACGGCTAAACACACGCATACACGCACATGTATGAACACAGCGCATACATACATACATAGATACATACATAGATACATACATACATACATACATACATACATAAGAGGGTTTGGCACCACTGGTAAGGCGCGACCATTGCCCCCGGGAGATCCCGGGATCGATACCCGTTAGGGTCAAAGTCCTTCCGATGGTGGAAGGCATTGCGCCCCTAGTTGATGGACGGTGGTGACCTGGGATAAAGTTAACCTGCGAGCCGACCAGGAACGGAGTTGGGCCGCTGTCGACCCGGCAGATTCCGTTGGATGCTGGTGGTGGGTGCGGAACCTGAGCGATCCACTGAGAAGTTGACTAGGGTGACTGGATGAGGGTGCCCCGAAATACCGGGGAAGGCAGGGTTTCGCAGGGTAGCTGCCACGGGCGAAGATACACCCCCCTGTTTCACACATCATACATACATCGAGACCTGTCAGGATTGCGACTTGTCAGGATTGCGACCTGTCAGGGTCAAAGTCCTTCCGATGGTGGAAGGCATTGCGCCCCTAGTTGATGGACGGTGGTGACCTGGGATAAAGTTAACCTGCGAGCCGACCAGGAATGGAGTTGGGCCGCTGTCGACCCGGCAGATTCCGTTGGATGCTGGTGGTGGGTGCGGAACCTGAGCGATCCACTGAGAAGTTGACTAGGGTGACTGGATGAGGGTGCCCCGAAATACCGGGGAAGGCAGGGTTTCGCAGGGTAGCTGCCACGTGTGAAGATATACCCCCCTGTTTCATACGACATACATACATATACATACACCAGACATGCATCGTGTGCCCACAATTGTGTGCGGGCACAAGTGTATGCACTTCACCGACATTAAAATGCCGCTCTCGTGCCTTGCTGCTGCTATTGTACGGCCTGCATGCACATGTACAGTTGTACCGCATCCACAAGGAGTCCGTCGTACAAAAGGGTGTCATGGAGTACTTCCACATCTCCAAAGCAGGGGGAACCTCCTGGAACTCTGCCGCGAGTGCGTGTCGGGTTTCGAATTTTTGGTGTGTGTGTATGTATGTGTGTGTGTGTGTGTTTGTGTGTGCCGCGGGGGGGAGAGGCGCGGGGGGGGGGAAATGTTCGAAAAGGGGAAGTAGGGGCTACGGACCCGCACACACGAACCAGGCGCAAAGCCCGAAAAGCGCAGCCAGGATCAGGATGCCGACGTCTGCGGCCTCTTTCCCGGGGGGGAAGGCCGCCCCTCCAGCCTATTTTGTTGACTTGGTGTGGACGTGCTAAGTGTGTGGTTGTTACAGTGGGCTCTAGACCACTAAGTGTAGGAAGATGTTTGAACTTTTGAAGGCAGGTGATCGATCCGATCCTGCGTTTGAGGAAGAGGTAGCACCTGGGGGTGTAACAACCCCCCCTCACCCCCCCCCCCACCCCGCAGTGTTCTTTTTGCTCTACTAGTTTTCCTTCGCTTCCTTCCGTTCTCTCCCTCTCGTTGTTCGTTTTCTGTTATCTCCGTTTTATCCGCTCCATGTTCTACCTCCATTGCGCTTACGGCCAATGTGCCTCAATCCCGTTTGGATTTCCCCCCGAACCCCCACTCACCCCATCCCACCCCACACTCACCTCGCTTCCTCTCCCCCAACAACATGCAGAACTCAACGGCTGTGTTCGGGGCATGTCGGCAGGCAGCCATGTCAAGGGCTTTGGCGACGAGTGTCGATGGATGGATCAGCGAGTTAC